CCCTCTCCCTCTCCCTCTCCCTCTCCCTCTCCCTCTCCCTCTCCCTCCCTTTTTGCAGCACCCCATTCAATGCAATTCTGCCCATATCCATATCTTCCAGCTTTCTCAGAAAGTTTGGAGTGAGAGCTTCTCAGCACTTGCAGAGGAGCATCCTTTTTTTTCCAGTGTTGCTCGGCCTCAGGCAGCTTCAGGCCAAGAGGTGCTGCCCAACATGCTGCAGGCCAGAACTCGGAAGCAGCTGCCCATTGTATTGTAGGCTCTAGACGGCCATGTCTTAGGGAGGCCATAGTATCAATTTGCAAGAAGCACGGCGTGAGCAGCATTCAACATTTATCATGGACATATCATTTCGTTTTGGCAGGTTTCGAAAAAAGTTAGCCAGCTTTGTACAGGTTACCCGCTATCAAGTTTCGACACAAACACCTTTTGAATTTGCTAGGCTTGCAATTCTTCTAGAGCTTAAACGGGTGACATGGATGTAAACCCTGTAGTCTGTAGTCCTTGGAATACCAACCATTTAGTCAGTAGCATGTAATTTGGAATAAAACTACTCAGCCTCCAATTCAACACAGTGTACCCACGGACACAAAAGCAAGCAATCGCGATATACCATGCAGCTGAGCTCTTTAGGGTGAGTTACACAGAAGAGATGCCTATAGGTTTTCCCTGATTAGCTGAAACATATGGTTGTATATTTATACACGCACCTGAAATTTTACCTCTAACGATTCTGTCACGAATTCCAAGTTTAGAAATTCACATTCGGCATTCTTCATTTCTGAATTCACATCTGGCGCGCTCCCGGACCATCGGCTGGGGTCGGCAGATATATATATATATATATGTATGTATATCTTTATACAGTAGCTATTCATTAAAGAAGGGCTTCTCTCTTTTCTGAGAAAATACAATATGTTATTTTTTCTTCATAAATTGAACTCAAAAAAACCAAAGAGGAAACAACTGAGAACAAATATTCATGACTTCTGGACTCTCAAGCATTGCTTCTCCTTGTCACAAGCTCGTTCCAAGGTTTGGCTTGGAGGGCTCTGAGCCGCCATTAAGAATCAAATGAAAACACTTACAGTAGCTTGTTCCCCAGATAGCGAAGCTATGGGGTTCTTACTTCAAATAACAATGAGTTGCCCGTGCGCGCTTTCGAGACAGGTTGCTGGTGCTGGTGCTGGGTGCCGGTGCTGGTGCTGTG